TGCCCCGACCCCCGCGCTCCTCGCATTGGAGCAGGGATAGAGGAACCGGGCCTGGACTGGGTGGAGGGCAGGTCGGCTCTGAGGAGGGTTGGCCTGGAGATCGCTGGCGCCGGCGGAGCTGGTGGGTACCCTCTGACTCCGACCCCTCTGCTGGGGCTGCCCCTGCCCCTGCCTCTGCTAGGAATTAAAGTCCCTGTTTCGCAGCCTCTGCGGAATGAATCAAGGCACCCCCAAATGGAGGCTCTGTGGTTCCTGCGTCCACAGATCCAAAGCAGTAACCGGTCCCACCTGGGGAGCCCGAGTTTCCGAAGGAGGAGCAAACACCCTCCCCAGGTTCTGGGAGGACTGTCTACCCGGAGGGCTGAGCCCTGAGGTGGCTGTGATGGGGGAGGGGGCGGGACTTCACTTTTTATCACCGGGAGAAGCTGGGACACTTCCCTGAGCCTCTCCCTCCTTCGTTGCTAATGCACCCTCCCCCCACCAGGCCCCAGAGCCATTGGGGGGATGTGGGGGGCAGCTTGCCAGGCAGCAGATAGACAGGGGCCTCTCACAGCTGACAGGCTGACATGTGTTTCTGGGTGTTTCCAAGCAGTTAAGTAGGTGTGGGTTTGTTTTTTGTTTAAATTGATTTTGAGAGAGAGAGAGAGAGGAACATGAATTTGTTAGTCCACTTATTGACACACTCATTGCTCGATTCTTATGTGCCCCGACCGGGGATTGAACCCACAGCCTTGGTGTATCTGGACAACACTCTAACCAACTGAGCTAAGTGGGTGGTTTTGAAGTCCAAACCCCCCTGCTCTTGGGCAGGACAGGGCCCTGGTCCTAAAGGTGGACCACTGCCCGGGGCAGAGCACTTACCTACGTCACACCTGGGCTGTCTGTCTCTCCTGCCTTGGGCTTGGCCTGAAACTCTTTCTTTTTTTGTAAAAAAGAGGCCATCGTTTCCTCCTGGTGACTCAGGGAGGACTCAGGGTCTGCGCCTGCCCCACAGGGGGAGAGGGGTGTGGGCTCTGCTGCCACCACACCCCTGACCCATCGGAAAATTCCCGCATCCACTAGGAACCTGCTGTCTTTTCCACAAAGGTGCTCCCCAGGTGTGGGGCTGTGACACTTACCAGCTCTCTCTCTTTTTTTAAGGCAAAAGGCATTAACTTGGTTTAAGTACTCCAAGGTGAAACCAGTCTTCTCCTTCCCTAAGGCTGAGTAGAGCTTTATCACATCAGAAAACAGTTGCTTTTTTGGGGGGAGGGGGGGCTGGATAGATGTCACTTGCATGCCATGTGAATATTGCAACAAACCATCATCAGGGAACATTCAGGCACCGGTGTGTCTTTGCATAAATAGAGGTTTTTTTCAGGTTGGCTGCAGCGCTGGAAGCTTAGAGGTGGGCAGTGTGGCTCTATTTCCTGGTAGGAGCCAGACAGGCCAGGAGTTTTGTCTTTATTCAAAGAGCCAGTGGGCTGGCCGGGCTCGGCTCAGTGTTTGAGCGTCAACCTATGAAACAGGAGGTCACAGCTTGATTCCCTGTCAGGACACATGCCCAGGTTTCGGGCTCCATCCCCAGTGAGGGGCGTGCAGGAGGCAGCCAATCAATGAGTCTCTCTCATCATTGATGTTTCTCTCTCTCACCCCCCACCCCCCCTTTCTCTCTGAAATAAAAAATTAAAAAAAGAGCCAGCAGGTCCTGGGCTGAGAGACTAGTGGACTGCAGAGGTGCTTGTCCAAATGGGGTCTTGCATGCCCCATGGGTTGACATGGGTGTGAGCTCCGTGTGGAGAGCCTCGTGGATTCCCGGAGCTGGGTGCTTCCGGGAGCTGGGCAGGGCCCAGAGAGCCCGTGGCGCGGACCCTCCGCTGTGGGCCGGTGAGGACGTTAGTTCACGGGTGAAGTAACCGGGGGCGGGGCTCATTTCTTGTATGAACGCCTTCATTTTGTTCCTAGTTCTCTTTTAGTTGAGCGACTTATGCATAACCAGGTCCAGGTGCACCCCATAAGAGGTGCACAGTCCTATATGCAGGCTGGGGGTGGCAGCTCCCAGACTCAGGTCCACCTCCCCGTGGGCCACCCCACGAGGGTTTCCCTGCCCCTGCCTGAGGTGTGGGTGGAGGGTGGCCCTCGTTCTTTCCCCCTCCACTGTGCCGATTAAGGTGCCTTAGTGAGGGATCCAAAGCCTCTGGGATGGGTTCTTCACTCCCTTGACCCCCGGGGCCCCCTTTGCCCCACTGACAGAGAAGGAAAGCCTTAGGCAGAGTGGTTTTTGTGGGAGAGAGGATTGAGAATGGGCGCCTGGGCTCGGGGCAAGGGTTCAACAGCCCCTTGCGGCCTAAGCCCGGAGAGGAGGGGCACTCTATTAAAGTTTGTTTTGGCTGCATAAGAGCAGAGCTGATTATAATGATCCGTGGCAACCACTTACCATTTAGTCTAATTTTTCACACAGCATATAATTACGCCCACCCCCACCTGTGTGTCAGATGGGCTTGTGTGCGTTTTATGTGACTGTAATTTGTTAGTCGGTTCCGTGTGTGCAGCCCTGGTAGGCGTCTGAGGCTGGGCTGGCGGCTCCTGACCCCGGGCGTGTGGGGTTAGGAGGGTCACCTCCCCGGCACCTCCCTGTGATGTGGCCTGCAGAGTGACTGCGTGCCGCGGGCCCGTCCTGTGGAAAGTGAGGGTTTTGGGAGCCGGGAGCATGAGTCACCCACAGTAAATGCAAACCATATGTTCTGTGTTTTCTGCTCGGCAGAAAGGGTTTCTGGTAACGCACTGGGGCCGGGGCTCTGAGTGGAGCTTTGTTTATGCCACGTAAAAATCCCAGGAATGTGGGTGAACCTGTCCGAGAGCTGACCAGAACCCAATTTCATGGAATAGGACACTTAGCCCAGTCACTGGTGGAGTTCCAGGCTGCTCGGTGGTTGTGACGTAGGTGTGTGCACAAGCTGACACTGACATTCGAGTTTGGAGGAGGGGAGAGAAACGGTAACGTTGATGGTTTCAGTTTCTTGAAACATAATGTAATGACTTTACCGTCTCAGGGAGAGCACAGCAGCTTCATTCTTTTCTACTCAGATTCCTCAGGAGGGAATTGAACGTGGTTCTCTGGAAATCCCCCTTCGAGGTGTCTGCTACCCTTTGGCTTCTCCACACCTTTCTTCCCAAGCCTGTCCCCTAGGGAGGACCTTACCTTATCTCATATCTGTGATGCCATTTGAGTTTATTTTAAAAATATGATGATCAACGGAGGGTCTTCAGGTTTTCAGATGAATGAAGACGCAGGCAAATCATCACCATAAGGAAAATATAAAAAGTATGCCTGCCGGCGAGGCGCTAAAAACCCTGAGCAGCGACCCCCAAACGGCTAACATTCCTCACTGATTCGTAAGGTGCTCTCTGGAGTGAGTCCTGGGTACCTCCTGTCGCCTCCTGTCCTTCATGCTCAGTGGGAACTTGGGCTGGTGCCAGAGTTGTCCTGGTGTTTCCTTTTTTAAAAATATTTTTTTATTGATTTCAGAGAGGAAAGGAGAGAGAGAGAGAGAGAGAAACATCAATGATCAGATAAAATCATGGATTGGCCTCCTGCACGCCCGCCCCCTCTCCCGCAGGGGATCAAGCCCGCCACCTGGGCATGTGCCCTGACCCTTTAGTCCACAAGCCAACGCTCTAGCCACTGAGTCAAGCCAGCTAGGGCCTCCTGGTGTTCCCTTGATTGTGTTTTGGAAGATCCATCCTTTCCCTGGTTCTCACCTGCACTGGGGCCCTGCAGCTGCAGCCCAGCAGGCCAGCAACACGGAGTGTCCTTTGTGGGGAGGGCCTGAGGGCGCTGGAGCAGCCAGTGCTGGAGTGGGAGGTGGTGCAGGTGAGCGGGGTGGTGCCCTGGCTAACACTGTCCCCTCTCCACAGCGGGCTGACCCACGAGGCCCACAGGAAAGAGGTGGAGCAGGTGTACCTGCGCTGCTCGGCGGGCGCTGTGGAGTGGATGTACCCAACAGGTGCTCTCAGCGTCAACCTGCGACCCAACGTTGTCTCGCCCTCCCGCCCCCTGACTCTGTGCGTCAAGCCCCTTGGGGACTCCTCTGGGGCCAATATTTATTTGGAGAGAACGGGAGCGCTGAAACTCCTGTTCCGGGACGGGGACCATGGGCCTGGCCGGGTGCGCTGCTTCGGCTTCCAGCAGGGCAGCCTGTTCGTGGAGGCGACGCCCCAGCAGGACATCCGCCGGAGGACCACGGGCTTCCAGTACGAGCTGAGCAGCCGGCCCACCGGCTCAGATCTGCACGCTCTGTCAGGTGGGTGATGCCGGGGTTGGGGGGTGGGCTCCCGGCTGCCCCCTCCTCAGCCCAGGTCCTTCTCATTTGCCAGACTTCTCTGACTTTCTCCCGGCCCCCTCAGCACAGCCTCTGTGGGAGTTCCCCAGGGTGTGCCTCAGACCTGGGGGAGGCCAGGGGCATCGTGATGCTAGGGACGGGCCCTCCTGCTGGTGGTACCTGTGCAGTGTCATGGGTGTTAGATGTAGGTGTACTGCCTGTGTTCTGGAAAGTTCTTGTTTGGACTCTGCAAGACCTTCATCTCCCAGGGGTGTGTTTGCGAAGGGTAACCAGCATCCCAAGAAGGGCCGCAGGTCAGGGCTGTGATGGGCCCTCGCCCGTCATGTGCTCTTCTTCCACGGACTCGTCATGACTCACTGGAAGTGGGTGCTGTTACCATTCAAACAATGGCCTCAGCATTTCCTCTGACACAAGCTGGTCGAGCATTTCCGGCCTTGGGTGCAGCCCCTGGAACGTCAGGTCTTGGGTGGGAATTGAGGCTGATCCACATCCCAGGTGGAAAGCAGTGACATCCTGAACCCTGGGCCAGTCCCAGGGTCTGGAGGAATTTTGTGGGGGTGTGTCTGTGGAGATTCCAGTAACGTGCCAGAGTGCGGCTGCAGTGGGCACCCGGCAGGCAGGAGCCCCTGCTGCTGGCCCTTTGAAGGGGCTGGGAGGATCTGGGAGCCGGGGCCGGTCTGGAGGGGCCTTTCGGTGGCCAAGTGTGTGTGTGTTCACGTGGGAAGGTGGTGAGCTGGCTTTAGATTTCCATCCCCTTTTCTCCGGAGGAAAGCAGACAGCTCTGCCAGGTGCTGGGAAGAGGCAGGGTTGGCCTTGGAAAGTTGCGTGGACAGAGATGGAGGAGGAGCCCAAGACCCCGAGATGCTCATACAGGGCAGGTCCCACCCTGGGGGCCAGGCCCCCCTCTCCCACTGAGGCACAGAGGACGACAGTGTCCCAATGTGTTGGGTGATGTTTAGGGTGGGGCTGCCAGATATCTGCGTCAATTCCAGGAGCAAGATGCCTTTCGGGTGTGTACACGTGTGTGCCTGTGTGTGTACATGTATGTGTGTGTGTGTGTTGTCCTGGGAGCTGTTTTCTTGGTGACCAGCTGGGCTGATGGTCAGGTGGGGGCCAGGCCCATGCACTGTTAATGCCCCACAGTGAGAGGACGCCCCAAATGGAGAGTGACGTGGCCCCAAGTCGCAGCGAGGGTCAGGCTTGGAACGGAGACTCCGAGGCACCCAGGGCTCTGGGAGCTGGGGGATCGGGGCATCTCTCCTGCCTGGGGTGTTCGCCTTTCATCTTTCATCGGGCACGGCCCCTAAGCCTTTAATGCCGGAGGAATGGGTGTGAAATGTGGAATGTCGGCACTGGCCATCTGGCGGCCGTGACGTCCCTGGGCCAGGCGGGCTCTCGGAAGAGAGCATGGCTGCCGGCTCTGTCCTGCTCCGGCCGTGGCTGCCCAAGGCCTTGGTGACCCCGGAGACCATGAATGTACCTGGGAGTGAGCACCCGCCTTCTCCTGCTGACGAGCCGCGCGAGTGACAGTTGTGCTGACTTCCGAGGGAGAGGCTCCTGGCTGAGTCCTGGCAGGAGGTGTGAGCTGTTGCCCACCGCACCTCTGACTGGTTGGCTGGGAGTGTTTACAGCACGTGTTGGCCCCCTGGCCACTGGGGTTGCGTAGTCAGCTTCCTCGATGAACCACCAGCCAAGAAGGGAGAGGCAGGCAGCCCCTGGACAGGTGCAGACGGCGGGCAGTGGGAGGGGACCCAGCCCAGGGGGAGTGGGATTTGGCTGCCACAGGCTCCCTGTGCACCCCCCAACCCTCACCGCCTCTGTGGGCCTCGCCAGGGCACCTGAGTAACATGGACGCCCCTTCCATGGCAGTGAACCCATCTGGTAGGACGTGAAAGGCAGGGAGCAGCCAGATGCAGCTCCAGGCCATGCCTGGAACATCGGTTGGGGTCTCGGGGTGGAACCTGGCCTGGCTGCTGGGGGGACTGTCCTCCCCGGTGTTCCAACACTCAAGGAAACAGGCACTCCAGGACTCGCCATCACCCAGTGGGCTGGGGGTGTGTGGGGGTGACCAGCCAGGGAGGGAGGAGGGTCACTGTGTCAGGCACTGGGGAACCAAGACAGACCTTGTGTCCCCAGGGGGACCCCGGATTCCAGTCTGTTTTTTTACTGCTGAGGGGCCGAGTAGCGGGCTCACCACTTGGACACATCCATGCTCTGGGCTCCTGGGACGTCCACCTACAGCATCTCCACCTCCGGGAGCAGACAAGGGGGGAGACAGCGGAATTTCAGATCCACGGCTGGAGGCTGGGCAGAGGCCCACGGCCCTCGTGCTGGCTGTGAACACATGGAAATAGCTCCATCACAGGCTTAGGGGCACCAGCGGTGGTGGGCGGCCCCGGGCCCACAGGCCTGATGGGCCTCATCTCCCGTCCCCTTTAAACCGCTCTGTTTGATGAGCTGGGGGCAGATGAGCCCCAGGGCGGTCCCAGGGGTGCACAGCCCCCTACTGAGGGGCCCTCTCTGGCACCTCGACGTTTGGGGGTGGCCCTGATGGCCGTGGGGGTGAGTAGCAAAGTTCAGAAGGAGTGTGGAGAAACCTCAGTATTGCCGGGAAACAGGAAAGGAGAAAACTTTGTATTTTTGCAAGGATCGTTTATTTCCTGCCTCAGCGGCTTCTCTGGCCTCTGTAATTATTGTGTAATTTTTTCGCCTTGCCCATTTGGGGTGGAAGGGTGTGGCCTTCCTGGCGAGGAAGAGGTCGGGAGGGAGCAGGACAGGAGGAGGTGCTGGTGGTCAGCTGGGACCCTGGCGGGGTCTTCTGGGGCATGGGGTTGTGCGACCTCAGAGGTGGAGGAGGTTGATCGTTGGAGGCGACTCCAGAGCCTTTGCCAGCAGCTCAGCGCCTGCTTGGTCTCCGTGAATACGGACCATGATCCAGCTGCGTTCACCGCATTCTGGTTTCTCCCTTCTCCTCACTCCGTTACAGCTCAGCATCTACTGCCCACCTGTCCCCAGCTGACCCGCTGGGTGCCCTCACGTATGGTTTTCTCTCTGGAAATTGTGTTTGTCCACCTGGTTGTCCTTACGTGGGCAGCCGGGACCTGGTCCATCTGACCATCTGCAAGCCCTTCCGGGCGGCAAGTTTCTGACAGAAGGCACCCGCCCACTCCCTCCCTCCTGCGCCTATGTCCTCACCTGGTTCCCTGTGTCCTCACCTTCACCTAGGTGACTGCATCCTCATCTGAGTCCCCGTGTTCTTACCTGGGCCCCTGCATGGCCCTGACCTGTCTCCCTGACCCTGTTATTTTCTCCTTCGTTCAGTTCATTTTATGTACATTCCAGAGTAACCTTCCTGGGACGTCCACACCCCAGCCCTCCCCTCTCCATGAGACACGGGCCAGCATTCCAACCAGCCCGCTGGCCACCCCTCCCCGGCTCACCGTAAGGAAAGGAGATTGGATGCGCCTGAGACCAGTGCATTCCACAGCCTTTATGAGCCCGACTCCGATTAATAATTGTTTCCAGATTGCTTCTCTTGGCGTCCACAGACTGGGTTTCCACAAAGGTGACCTCTGCTTTGTGAAGCTCAGAGTTGTAGGAGTGAAGTCTCCAGGGTGACGCTTTATTAGCTCAGCCGTCGATGGTATCAGCTCATTGGGCCTTCTCAGGGCTGCTGACTGCCTTCCCCCAGGGCCGCCGGGCGGTCCCCACACCTTCTGCAGTGGGGCTGGGAGTGAGCCAGGAGGCTAGTGTCCACCTCTGTCCTCAGCCCTCAGCCGAGGTCCCAGGGCCCGTGACCCTTGTAGAGGGCATAGCTCCAGGCTGGGTCACTAGCGCCCAGGCCTAGGGTCTGATCACGGCGTGTAGCCTGGGCCCCCTCGACTACTGCCTCTGGGGTGGTGCCCCTGGCCTAGCTCAGCTGGCTCGGATCCTGGGACATGCTGTGGAGGGCCTGCACAGATCCTCACCTCCCACCCACCTGCGCTGCACCCATCGCACACCTGGTGGCTGAGGGGAACCTGCCTTCTGGGGAGAGCTGCCGAGGCCGGCCCCCACTAGCAGAGGGACCCCAGGCTGGGGCCTCTGATTCCATGGGCACTGGGTATGCCAGCCAGGATGGGAAGTCACCGCTGCTCCCCGCTCTTGCTCACAGGCCAGAATAAAACCAGGGGTATACGAGCCCTCAGAGCCGGCTGTGCTATGTGCTCCTTCGTCATCATGCCCACCATGCGGCTCCATGGGCAGCAGGTCCACAGTGGACGAGAAGGATGAAGGGTCCCCAGTTGGCCACCCTCTTTTTTAAATCCTCACCTGAAGATATGTTTTTATTCATTTTAGAAAGAGAGGGAGGGAGAGAGCGAGAGCGAGAGCGAGAGAGAGAGAGAGAGAGAGACATGGATGCCAGAGAGAAATACCGATTGGTTGCCTCCTGTATGTGCCCCCCCACCCCGCCCGGATCGAACCACAACCTTTTGCTGTATGGGGTGGCACTCCAACCAACTGAGCCACCCGCCAGGGCTCACCACCCCTTTTTTAAGATAGGCCTTGAGGCTGGGGTCCACTCCTGCAGGCCGAGGCTTGGGGTTTGGAGCTGGGCGGGAGGAGCCTGCCTGGAGGCTGGGTGGACTCGGCTTCCATCCCATTCAACAGGCTGTTCTTGCTCTGCAGCTCCTGAGAACGTCACAGGAGCCGGGCGGTGAGGGGGGTGAGTCAGGCCTCGCTGAGCTGCACTGGGACGCTGCACCCACACTGCCCGGAGGCGGGACGGCGGCACCAGCTCTCTGGACTCTCACGTCCACCCCAGGCACCCCAGAGACACTGTGTGCCGGGCCCCATGGCCACGCACATCCCGGCCCCGGAGGCCTCTCTGCTGCTGCTCGTCTGTGCCTTGCCTGGTCCCCCCAGGTCCCCGAGCCACTGCTGCTCCTGGAGGGGGTGGGGCAGCCCCTGCTCAGCCTGGTCTAAGGCTGCAGGGGCAGCCACCCAGGCACCCAGACAGGATTAGGTCGTCCAGGCCCAGTGAGTGCCAAGGCCAGGGACGTTCTGGGGCCTTTAGAACAGGAAAGGGTCGTGGGGGGGCCTCAAGTTTCTATCGAGTCAGGAGAATTGGTGCAAAAACTCAGAAACTCAAACTGGGTGAGGGAGAGGCCTTGAAAGGAGCAATGTGGCAGTCAAGTAATAAATTGTATTTTCCCAGATCCACCGAGTAGAGGAGTGCACTGTCCCTGGGGAGTCACCAGAGCCCTAGGTTTCCGCCTCCCCCACCCGCAACCCCACACCTTTCTGAGACCTTGTGCCCACCTGAGAGGAGGGGGAAGGGCTGGGGGAGCAGGGCTTTTCATAAGGCCCGTCTGGCTGGGGGAAGCCAGTCCCACCCAGGTAGGAGTTTCAGGGGACTAGGGATTCTGTGACTGGGCTGCTCTGAAAGGCATTTGGAGGTGTTTAGAGGGGTCACTGGGGACCAAGGACAGGAGGTATCTGAGGAAGGGGAGTTGGGAGGGTTCTAGGGCCTCGTTCAGGATACCTTTACTAGGTGTACCGGTTAATAATGTGGATTTTTTTTTCAATAGATGGAGTTACACACATGTTGATATATATGCGATTTGACATGTATGCTATGTTGTTGTATTGCTCCTTCAGATCACCACTTGTTCTGATCGACGGCACATGCACTTTCTGAGCAGCACTTCCAAACGTACGAAGAAGTGGGAAATTGGGTCTCTGAATGGTCTGCCTCAAAACAAGAAAAGTTCTATTGGGACGGTATCCACAAATTACCTGAAAAATGGAGAAAATGTGTAGCTAGCGATGGACATTGCTTTGAATAACGCACTTTCGATGTTTCTCTTGAAATTATCATGTTTTCTTTGATTACAAAATCCACATTATTACGGTTAATAATTCAGATTAACTATTAACTGGTTAATAATTCAGATTAACTATTAACCTGTTAAAATTTGGATTAATTATTAACTGGTTAATAGTGCAGATTAACTATTAACTGGTTAATAATATGGGTTAACTATTAACCGGTTAATAATGCAGAATTTGTGATCCAAAGAAAACACGATAATTTCAAGAGAAACCTCGAAAGTGCTTTATTCAAAGTAATATCCATGCTAGCCACACATTTCCCCCATCTTTCAGATAATTTGTGGAGACCGTCCCAATAGAACTTTTATTGTTTTGAGGCAGACCATTCAGAGACCCAAATTTCTACTTCTTCGTACTAGTTTTGAAGTATGTGATGGTGCGTCTTCTGGCCCATTCTGGTCGTTTTACGATCAGCAAAAAGTTCTTTCCTGCCGTTGCAGAAACATTTTACTGATGACTTTTCGGTTTTCCATTTGTCTTTCATTCAGTTGATGTGGCCCCCATTTTCCTCCTTTAAAACCTTTCCCATTGCTTGTAAACAATTGTAAATTGCTGAGCAATGTTTAATCTTCCTGCAAGTTGTTTTTGAGTTTGACATGCATCTTCATCCAATAATGCTTGTAATTGTTGGTCTTCAAACTTTTTCGGTTGACCTGGACGTTCTTTGTCTTTCAAATCAAAATCACTTTTAAAGCGTTTAAACCAGTGTTCACAAGCATCTTGAGATGGAGCATGTTCACCATAAGCTTCCCAAAGTATATGATAACTTTCAGCAGCACTTTTCTTCAAAATAAAGTAATGAATTAAAACTTCCCGCAAATGATCTTTTTTTTTTTTTTGGCACGAAATTCGACATTTTTAAGCGTAAAAATATCTATGATGTTAGCACCTTCAGAAAATTTGACATATGAAGTTTTGAACATGTTGTCAATAAAACAAAATAGCATACATATCAAATCGCATATATATCAACATATGTGTAACTCCATCTATTGAAAAAACCCCGCGTTATTAACCGGTACACCTAGTAGGCTGCGGCCTCCCAGGCAGTCTCCACCTGGAATGGAGGCAGGAGCGGGGATGCTGGGGAGCAGGCAGGTGTGAGTGGTTGGCCCTGGCATTTCAGGGTGTGGCTGCGGAGGCGGAGTGATGGTAGCGCTGGCTCGGGCCAGCGGAAGGACAGGCTTTGCTCAGTGCAGGCTGGTCTGCATTGGTGTTGGGCATGGAAGGATTTCACCGAGCCCAGTAGCTGCTCGTGGGGCACAGCTGCTCTGACCACTGAGTGGGGACAGGCCTGTCCTGTACTGGGCGGTGGGCCTGGGGTCCCTGCAGTCAGCCCCCTGCCCGCACGCTGAGACCGCGGTGTGATTCTGGCCTGGGATCTTAGAGGTGCTGCCGGAAATCAGAGCACCTTTGGGGTAGGAGGGGCCCCACCGTGGGGCAGGTGTGTATCCATGCACGTCCATGCCCTGCCTGATGCTCTCCCTCCCTGCCCTCTCCTGCAGCTCCCTGCCGGCCCTGCAGTGACACCGAGGTGCTCCTGGCAGTCTGCACCAGTGACTTCGGTGAGTGCCCTGGTTCCCACCGCGGGGAGGGCGCCCCACCTGGTCCCAGAGAACCTTCCAGCACTGGCACCGACCTCTGCAGGGAGGAGGCTGTGAGGACCCCGGGCTTGGTGCCCCTCCTCTATGGGTCACAGGGCTGCACCCCCGTGACTCCAGCCCCAGGGAAGGGACCTAGCGCAGGGCAGGGAGAGGGCTGGGAATTCCTGTTATTTCAGGTGATCAGGGGGCAGTGTCCCACTTTGCATGTGACGTCATCGCTCTGGAAGCCTCACCTCAGAGCCTCAGCCTCCACCAGGCCCCCTGCAGGGGCCACAGTGGGAGCTCCAGGTCCTGGTAGGATCCATGGCCGAGGTCAGGGACTCAGCTCTGGCACAGGATGGCAGCTGGCACACTAGGTGCCCTGAGCCTCGAGCCCGAGGGCAGCCACCTGAGGGCAGGTTCCTGTGGAACTGCAGGCTTCTTGCTGGGCCCACAAGGGCGGACCCTTTGTAATGAGCCCTCTCTCTGCCCTGTCCTCCCTCACCCTCCGCCCCTGAGTGTCACCCATCTCCAGTCTTGATGCAGATCTTGTGTGTTAGCTCTCGTTACTGTTCTTGTCCCGACTGGAACATCTGACGCACCAAGTGGCTTATTTCTTCCATGTTCTCCCATGTAAGTGGCTGGGCCTCCTCCCTCTGACAGAGCCGAGGGCGGGGACCACCCCAGGCAGCCTCACGCCCAGGAGCTGTCCTTTCTTTTTTTAAAATCCTCACCCGAGGATATTTTCCATTGATTTTTAGAGAGAGTGAAAGAGAGAGGGAAAGACAGAGAGAAACATCAGTGAGAGAAACACATCGATTAGTTGCCTCCTGCATGTGCCCCAACCAGGGCCTGGGTGGGGAGGAGTCTTCAACCCGGGCATGTGTCCTTGACCAGAATCGAACCCGGGACCCCTTGGTCCACGGGCCAACACTCTATCCACTGAGCCAAACCGGCAAGGGCAGGAGTTGTCTCTTTAAGAAGAATTTCTGGGATGCAGAGGTCAGGACTGGCTTCCATCCCAGGGCCTGTTCACACTGAATGGCAGCGTGCTGTTTGCTCAGTGGGCGTCCTTGCCCACCTCACTGGTCCATCCTCTGCCCCCCTCACTGCCCTGGTCCCGCCCATCTCCCTGACCCGTGTCCTCCACTCCGCAGTGGTCCGAGGAGCCATCCAGGACGTCACCCATGCCCCTGAGCGGCAGGAGTCGGCCATCCACCTGCGCGTGAGCCGCATCTACCGGCAGAAGAGCAGGGTGTTCCGTGCGGCGCCCGGGGGCGGCTGGCAGGGCCGCATCTCCACGCTGCTGGCCTGCGGCGTCCGGCCCGGGCGTGGCGAGTTCCTCTTCACGGGACACATGCACTTTGGGGAGGCCCGGCTCGGCTGCGCCCCTCGCCTAGAGGACTTCCAGCGGATGTACCAGGACGCAGAGGCGCGGGGGCTGAACCCCTGTGAGATGGCTGTGGAGTGACAGCGGGTGGCTGTGGGGTGACCGAATTATTGGGGTGGACGCCTGGCGACCATGTGTGGAGTCCGATGCACGAGGTTCCGGCCAAGGAGACCCCAACCGATTGGTTGGAAATGCTGTAAAATGCAAACTAAGTTATTATATTTTTTTTAAAAAAAGAAATGCCCATAGGAAACACTCGCGTGCCTTTGTGCGCCGTTGCAAGTGGTTTTTTAGAGACACCTGACTTCATTGCCTTTGGCTGGTGTTTGGGGGGCTGTGGCCCAGGCGAACCCTAGCACCAGGCTTGTGCAAAGCTTGCCTGTGTTCACAGTGTGTCTTACCATGGAGACCTGTGGAGCCAAATACTTGTCATTGTTTTCACTTGGTTTTTGCTTTTTGAAGAACATGGTTTGCCAGCCCAGCTCATCTGGGGCTGCAGCGCCTCCCTCCAGGGAATCAGTGCTCCCACCTGATGGCGATGGCACGGCAGTGGCCAGGCTGGTGCCCGGGTGCTGAGCTCGGCACTGACAGGGCTTCCCCTGGGAGCCCCAGGGCCCTGGCGGCAGGGCTTCCGTGGGCCCCACTAAGTGCCCTGTTACCCCTACACTCCAGGGATGTGCTGGTCTCAGCCAGATGCCCCCTCCTCCTTCTTGTTAACCCAGATCCTCCTCTTTGACCCCAACTTCCCCCAAATGCCCCAGCCCACAGCAAGCCTCTGGACGCCCAGGGGCTGGACAGGGCTGGGATCAGTGACCCCATATCCTCAAGGATGAGAGTGACCTGTAGCTGCCATAACAAGTGACCACAACGGGGGCTTCAACCCCACATTCTCTGAGGCCAGGGCAGCTGGCGCTCCCTCCAGGCTCTAGGGACGGAGCCTACCTGTGTCTCCCGGTTTATAGTGGCTGCACAGTCCTGTGCAGTGGTGTCCCAACCTCCCCTCTGTTGTCACGGGTCTTCTCCCCTCCGTGTCTTGTGTCTATGTTGACCTTCTCTTAGGACACCGGTCACTAGATGGGGGCTCAGTCACCTCACTGTGTTTACATCTGTAAAAACCCATTTCCAAATAAGTTTACATTCACAGTTTCTGGATAGATGTGAATTTTGGGGGACACTATGTACCCCAGTACAGGGTCACTGGTGTCAAATAATCAGGCCTGGGCCAACGTCCTCAGCTATGAATCAGGTGATGTCTCAGCAGCTGTGAGACCAAAGGACAACCCAGGAGAGGCCCACAGTGGTCAGTGAGCACCATGCTGGCTGCACTGAAGACAGGCACTGTGTGGCCATAGGCAGATGCAGTGTGCCAGGCCAGGTGTGCTCTGACACAGGTGTGAGCTGACACATATGTGCACCGGCTCACATGTATACAGACAGGTGGGCCCTGGCTCAGGTCTGTGCTGGCACAGTTCTGTGAGCCAACATGGGTGTGCACCAGATCACACGTATACAGACAGGTGGGTCCTGGCTCAGGCGTGTCCTGACAGGTGCCCTGGCCCAGGTGTGTGCTGGCACAGGTCTGTGAGCTCCTGCAGGTCACAACAAGAAGCAGGTGCTTAGCACCTGCACCACAGGAAGCAGGGCACTGGCTGAAGCTGCTGGTTGGTGACAGGAACAGGTCCCCCTGTAGCCAATAACTGGCGGGTTTTGACCAGAGGATGTGTGACAGCAGCAGCGGGGACAGCTGACCTGCTCCTGGGCTGTGCTGGGTTCTCTGTGCTGGCTCAGCCCCACTGACTCTGACAGGAGGCCTGCAGGGCAGCCGAGGCTGCAGAACCAGAATGTCGGGTTTCGGTTTCGGGGGTGGAGTTCCTCCTGACATCAGTGCAGGGATGATGGGACCTGTGGGCCTGACCTGTGAGCGACGTCAGGTGCACAGCAGCATTCTCTCCATGGGAGACGGTCTGCAAGGGGGTCGGTGAGGTCCAGCCCTGCTGACGGTGGCCTGGACACAGGAGCCTCGCCCTCCATAGCCTCTGAGCTTAGTGCCCAGCACAATATCCCCGCGCCGCCGTCAGAGCTGCTGGGCATGGGGCAGGCCTGGAGGGTCCCCATTTCTGAAAGAGCACAGAGCCCCTATGCCGATGCCCTCTTGCTGCCCAGAGCCTCATGTGGGCATCCGAGACCACTATGTATGCCAGCTTTCCGCGTTGGTCCTGGGGGAGCCCCCACGCTGTGCAGCCCTGAGGGACCAGGTGAGGCCCTGGAGGTCTCCATAGGGTCCTCTGATCCATGCTCTGCCTTGTGGATAAAGGTTCGGTCACTTTGGAGTGGACCCTTCTGTGGCTCCATAAGTGGTTGAGGGGGAGTCATGTGGGAGCCCCCTCACCATGTGCTCCAGATCCCACCTGTCCTGTCCAACGGCCCCCACTGCCCCTCCCTCCTCTACCTCCTGCTGGAAGCACAAGCCCAGGCTTCCCAGCACCAGTTCCCCTGCTCCCTCCTCCTTCATTTCCAGAAATGAGACTTCACTGATTTCACCTCTGCATTTCCCCACCCACTGCAGGCCCCAGACACAGTCCTCCAAACCCTCTCCCTGGCAAGTTCTAAGGGATGACCTTGTTTCCCTGACTCTGTCACTGGGACCCTCTTCTAACACATGCCGGTGGGAAGAACCCTGGTTTGGGCCTGTCCAGTGACATCACAACCAGGAAACACACTTTCTGAGCTCCCTGCAGCCTGTGACCTCCCTCCTGTGCTGGGGGAAGTGAATGCTGGGCGCGCTCTTCCTGTCCACTCTTCTGCCCCGCCTCCCCATGGAAATGTGGGGAGGGACCCTGGCCTTGACTTCTGTTGGGGTCTGGATGCCCCAAGGACTTGGGACGCTGAACCCTGATGCTCAGGGGCACCCATCTCTCCTCCCGACCCCCCTCACCCTGGCCTGACACCTGAAGAGTCAGGCTAACCCTGTGGCCTCCAGCTGGGAGCATCTCAAACCCTGGGTCTTGTTTCCTGTGGGCACAGCTGTGGGTGTATGTGCTCATGTGGGGTCTGGCTAGGGTCTGCACCCACCTGTGTAGCCAACTGGGACCCAGGGGAGCCTCAAGACCTCATGTGGGTGTTCCTGTCCTGGCTTCTGGTAGCAAGCTGGCCCCCAGGCAAGGGCCCCACCGGATGCTCAGGCCAGGCTGGCCCCCTCAACGGGTGTCCTTCCAGCCTGGGGCACCCTGCTTTCCTTGCTGGGGGAGAATTGGGGCCTTGAGTCAGGCTCTCTGGGGCTGTGCCAGCTCCAGCACTGGGACCTTGGGGAGGCTGGCCCCCCAGATGTGACTCATCCTGGTGTGTGGGGGGGGCGTGGGTGGGTGAGAGGTGAGGTGAGGTGCAATGTGAGCCCTGTGGTCTGAGCTCTGGGCTGGTTTCTGGGAGGAGCAGATGTGACTTGGAGGCTGGGGAGACGGGGGGAGGGGTAAGGAAAGGGACCCAGCACCCGGCCACTTACAAAGTCAGCAGGGTTCTCTCTGGACTCCTGCCTCCTGTCAGCACCGAGAAAACTGCTCGGCCCCATGACCGGGGAACAGGGTCTCCTATTGACAGCCGAGCTTCTGTGATTCCTGCCAAGTGTGCCACGTCTCCACGTATGGGGCCCATTTCTGTCATCGGACACTGTCCTGTGTCTATGGTGAGTGGCCTCAGAGATGTCTTCATCCTGGCCCCTGTGAATGTGTCACTGGTGGCCTGGATCCACAGGCCTGAGACGTGAAGCAGGAGGAAGAGGGGGTGGGGGTGGGGACTGAGTGGCCAGGAGACTGCTGTGCAGGTGGAGGAAGGGAAGGGAATGGAGTCACAGGCCAGCAAGGGTCTGGCCTCCGGGAGTTGAAAAGGCAAGAAGCAACCTTTAATAAATTAATAAGGTGTCATAATGTACAAAAAAAAGAAAAGGCAAGAAGCAGATTTGAGGTCTGGAGCCTCCGGAGGGCCCAGGCCCTGGGCACCTTGATCTCAGGCCCACGTGGCTCAGACTCCAGACCTCAAATCTTTGCATTATAAACTGCTGCTTTCAGCACAGTGAGTTTATGGGAGACGAACACACCAGTGCACCCGCTCACCTGGGGCTGAGGGGGCGCAGCAGGTCCCCCGATGGCACTGGGTGCTGGTGAATTCCCCTAAAGTGTGTAAAATGCTGTTATGTGTCTACTTTTTTAGAAACAAGCTCATAACTTATCAGAAGCTCAAAGTTAGGAACATGACTCCGTCCGTACAGGTGGGGACTACAGGGCAGGTGTGCTTTTCCTCAGTGATTTGTAAAGAATCGAGCTCTTACCCCACCTCTCCCTGTCTCTCCCTCTGTCTCTCCCTGTCTCTGTCTCTCCCTCTCCCTGTCTCTCCCTGTCTCTGTCTCTCCCTCTACCTGTCTCTCCCTCTGTCTCTGTCCCTCTTTGTGCCCCTCCATCCCTGGGGTATTTTTCCCTCCTATTTGCTGACTAATGCTACCTTGTAACCTGCTGCCTGTGAGCTCACTGCAGGCCGCAGGATCTCAGGTGTGGCTTCTGGAGCTGCTGGGATGCTCCTGCCCACACCTGGTCTCACCTGTCCTGAGTCAACCTCTCCATCCAGATAGCGTGAGGCCCTCCTCCGGTGTTCACCCATCCAGATAGTGCCCACCCATCTCAGCGACCCCCCAACTGGACCCACCTGTGGTTTCCCCTCTCCCCAGTGCCCTGGACCCTTTTTCTCATGGGCAGCCCCTCCTGAGCCTTCTCTGTCACTCTTGGCAATGTGAAGGATTTGCTTGGAGGATGCTGGCTGCAGCCCCTCACTGGGGCCCGAGATGAAGGCCATGGGCCATGGGCAGGGGCCTGGGGTGTATGGGACAGATCAGGGCAGCAGCACGAAGCAGAACCACCCTTGAGGGAGACCGTGCCCTGGCATGACTGCAAAGGCCAAGGCAGATGGCTCCGGGCTTTCGTCACAGCTGCACCATGCGGGCAATGGGTCCAGGGGCCGAGGGGAGTGCATGCTGGGGAGGCCCTGCAGGGCTAACAGCTGTGGCTCCCTGGGGGCTGACGCAATCCCCATCCTGAAGACAGTATCCCTCCTTCCCATGCCAACGTGTCCTGGCTGCCAGCGCCCGGCTCTGGAGGGGTGCAGGCGTTGTGTGGTGCCTACAGCCTGGCAGGGAGTTTCTTGTGGACTGGGGACCAAGTCCAGAGCCTGGTCCAGGCTCCACAAGTTCTGGCCCCAGACCTGCCCAACCT